TGACGCCTGGAGGGGCTCAGGTGAGTGAGGGGTGCCAGGCTCCGCACTAAGTTGGCACCTCCCCCAGCCCCCGGCCCTCGGCAGCTGACCCTGACCCCCTAAGGAGCTTTCCTTTACCTGGTTGACCATGAAGGTGGGAATCTGTCCAGGGTCGGCCCTGGGCCTCCTCCCCACGGCTTTAAACACCCACCAGGTTGCCATGGCCTCCCTCCACTCAGGCATCTCAAAGCTGTCAATAAATCCCCGGGTGTCTCATGGGCACCCCCAAATCCACATCACCGAAATAACTCCTCCCACTGCAAGGTGGTCTTTCCTCAGCCCACCCCCGCATAAGCTGCCCTACTGTGTGCTCAGCTACTGAGGCTGACGCCGGAGTGACCCCTCCTCTCATGCCAACAGCCAGCCTGTCACCACGCTCGTCAACTATGCCTTCAGAGCACCATGACTCCTGCCCTTCTCTTCCCACTGGACACCCTGGCCTGACCACCTCCACAATTACCCCTGATGGGTCTCCTGCTCTCGGGATAGAACCTAAGCCCTGCTCCAGGGGCCATGAGGCCATCCACACAACTTGCCGGAACTAAGGGGGCTCCCAGGTGCTGGGGGCTCTGAGGGGAGGGGGGACTGCGGGGGCTGGGGGGGTTCCGGGGGAACAGGTGTGCGCCTCGAAGTCCGTGTTGGGGGAATGCAGGAGAGGGAGTCTTGCTCCACTCGGCTACTCCTCCTTTCTGCCTCGGGCCGTGGGCCTGTGGTGGAGCTTCCATGGCCATCCTACAGCTGCCCCAGCCCTGAGCTACTACGGCAGCATAGATGGTGTCCACCTCTGACCTAGATGAGGATGCTAAACGCCCCTCTGGGTAAGCCTCTGTGCAGTGGGCATTCTGTGACGTCAGCCGCAGTTCAGGATCTGGCCGGTGTGAAGGCAGAACATGAGCCTCAGAGAGCACTGCCCCCCATTCTGCCAACGCTGCCGCACCACTAATTCCCTTGTGCTCAGACGGCCAGTCAATTTAGCCAATTCCTCCTCTTCCCCCAGATGGGCTCCCTTGCCCCGCCCCCCCATCACGTGAGGTCATTCTGGACACTTCCTGCGCCTCCACCTCCGGCCCCTCCCACAGCGCCCCTTCCAGGGAGCCCCAGCCACCCCACACCTGGCGCCGCCTCCCTCCCCTCCTCCTTCCCACCCAATGCCAATTTTGGGGGCTGCCCTGATCCCCCACGTGGCCCCCTAACTGACCTTCATCACGGCCATGCTGCACCTGGAGCCCAGAGTGGTCTCTGTGCCACTGAATAAGTGGGCAAGTGGTATCTCAGAGCATATCTCATTTCAGTTAAAAAAGTAAGTCAATGTAATATTTCTCACACATTGGTGTCATTAACAGCTCCAGTAAATCCTTGTGTCTCTTTTCTAGTCTTCTCCCCAAGAGGGCAGGGTATCTCAGCCTGCATACCTGGTGTCTATGCTGAGTTGCTGACTCTAAATCAGGAACTCCTACATGCAAAGATAATGTGTCATATCTATTCTCAGGAATATTTCTGTGCTTCCCAAGGGCTTGGAGTATAAACCCAAGTATAGGTTGCATTTCATACTCTTGAAAAGAGGGAGGTGGCCCCATTTCCTGGGATGGTGGAATAGAGGGTTCAGGTCAACCCTCTGCTGAGAAGTAAAGAGCTGGGAACAGTATCAAGACAAAACCCATACACCTCTTAGAACTCCTACCAAGACAGTGAGGAATTGTGGGGCTAAGACCCAGAAGAGGGCTCAGTCTGAGAGACAAGTCACCAGGAGTGTCTGTTGATTTGGAGACAGCAGCTGTGAGGCTGAAAAGCTGATCAAACCTTGCTACAGAGCCCAGGGGCTGTGGTAAGAAGGGTGGCCAGTGAACCCTTCAGGTTCGGGTTGGACCCTGGAAGAGCTATACACTAGAGCCAGAGTGAGCAGGAAAGAGATACGCCCCTGTAAGAAGCAAAGCTCAGCTTCAAGTGATCCCAACCCGTCAGGATGAAGGTGACCTGACGATTGCCTGTGCTCCTAGCCTGGCAGTCTGCTCCAACAGAAGATAATATCATCAGTGTGTCATCCAATCATCAAGTTCTTTATGATTTCTTAAATATAAAATGTGCAACACTCAATCAAAAGTAACCAGGCATTATCAGGAAATAAGATGTGATGAAGAAGAACAGGCAATAGAAAGAGACCCAACAGAGGTGCAGATAATGGAGCTATTAGACAAGGACTTTAAAAGAAATACACTTGGACTTCCCTCGTGGTGCAGTGGTTAAGAATCCTCCTGACAATGCAGGGGACAAGGGTTTGAGCCCTGGTCCGGGAAGATTCCACATGCCGCGGAGCAACTAAGCCCATGCACCAAAGCTACTGAGCCAGTGAGCCACAACTACTGATGCTGCATGCCACAACTACTGAAGCTTGTGTGCCTAGAGCCTGTGCTCTGCAATGAGAAGCTACCTCAATGAAGAGTAGCCCTCGCTCGCCGCAACTAGAGAAAAGCCCACACACAGCAACAAAGACCCAACACAGCCAAAAATAAATAAATAAATTTATTATTAAAAAAAAAAAAGAAATACATTTAATGTACTCAAGGAGCAAAAGGCAAGATTAACAGATGTGGGGAGGGGGAGACCTGGAAACAAAAACAAACAAATGAAAATTCTAAAAGAAATAAATAGAATAACTAAATTTAAGGACTCAATGGATAGTTTTGACAGCAGATCTAAAGATAAAGAGAGAATCGGTGAACCAGAAGGCAGGTCAAAAGAAATTATGTAGACCGAAACAGAGTCAAAGGATATAAAATCTAATAAAAAGCATAAGAGACATGTGGGTACAGTGGAAAGATCAAGCATATTTATTATTTATTTATTTATTTAAATAAATAAATTGGGTTGGGTCCTCGTTGCTGCGCGCGGGCTTTCTGTAGTTGCGGCGAGCGGAGGGCTACTCTTCATTGCAGTGCGTGGGCTTCTCATCGTGGTGGCTTCTCTTGTTGTGGAGCATGGGCTCTAGGCGCATGGGCTTCAGTAGTTGTGACATATGGGCTCAGTAGTTGTGGCTCGCAGGCTCAGTAGTTGTGGCACACGGGCTTAGTCGCTCTGTGGCATGTGGGATCTTCCTGGACCAGGGCTTGAACCCGTGTCCCCTGCATTGGCAGGCGGATTCTTAGCCACTGAGCCACCAGGGAAGCCCTCAAGCATATTTTTAATTGATTCTAGATGAAGAGCAGAGAGTGAGGCATCCAAAATATCTGAAGAAATAAGAGCTGAGACTTTCCTGAAACTGATGAAAGATATCAAGCTACAGATTCTAGAAGCACAGTGAGGAACAAAAAGGATAAATACAGGGAAAAACACATCCAGGCACAGTATAGTAAACCTGCTGACTGAGAATAAAGAGGAAAGCTTTAAAGTACCCAGGAAGACATGTCATCTTCAAAGGAGTGACAATAAGAGTGACAGAAAGTATGGAAACCAGAAGACAATGGAATAACATCCTCAGAATGCTAACAGAAATAAATGCCAACCTATACATCTATACCCAGTGAAAATGTCCCTGAAAAATAAAGAATGCACAGAAAAATTTTCAGAGAAACAAAACCTGGCAGAATCCAGTTTCCTGGTTTCACCAGGAAACCCATACCAAATGAAATACTAGAAGGTGTTCTCCATGGAGAAAAAAAAAAAAAGTGACCCCAGATAGAAGTTTGAAAATGCTAGGATTGAAGAGGGACCGAGTTTGATCCCTGGTTGGAGCACTAACATCCCGCAGCCATGCAGGAAAGAGAGAAAGGAAGGAAGGAAGGAAGAAAAGGACTCAACCAGGTGAATCAGGTAAGTTCAAAAATAACAAGAATGATATAACTTCCAGTGAATCCCAAAGGGCCCCCCACTGTGGCCAGCACATGTATGGTGGTAAACTGCACCCTCAACTTTGGGGGGTGTCTCAAAATTGACAAATACGGGTGAGAAAATGAGGGGAAAGGCACTTCCAGACCTTCCTTCCCCTCCTCAGGTGTTTTACTCAGCTTTCAATTTTATGTCCTTTGGCTGGGCACCACTTGTTTCATTCAGTCTGTGGACACCTGGCCACACCCCTCACCAGCTCCAGTCCCCGCAGGTAACCCTCTCTGGCCTGGTGCAGATAATGGAGCTATTAGACAAGGACTTTAAAAGAAATACACTTGGACTTCCCTGGTGGCGCAGTCCTTCCCCTCCCGAGTTTCCTTCCATCAGGGATTTCTGTCTGCTCTACTCACTGTTGAATCCTCAGCAGCTACAACACAGCCAGGCACACAGGAGTTACTAAATATTTACGAAGAAATGCATTTAGGTGAGGCACGAATTGTTAACATTCATTGACAGTATTAGATGAATGAAACATCACCTATAGATTACAAACGTTGCCTTAATTAACAGAGTTGCCACTTTCTTCCGAAACCAACTGTCTGTGTCTGTGTCTGACTCTCCAGCTCTAGTTGTCGGTGCTCGCAGAATCCCGACACTCAGACTTTGCTCCAAGTCAGAGAACCGACCCGCTGCACGCCACGTTAATGTCACGGCCCGGGCCCTGCTAGGCCTCATCCTCACCGGGTCCGACTTTCGAGGCCCACCTACGGCACGCGCGGGTCCGCCCATCAGTTTCAGCCGGGCTGGAGGCGGTGAGGGCACCTTGGGGACCACCGCTGGCCCCGCCCCACCCGCAGGCCCCGCCCCATCCGCAGGCCCGCCCCTGTCCGCAGGTCCGCCCCTGTCCGCCCGCCCACAGGCCCCGCCCCTAGAGGCCCCGCCCACCTCCTGCTGCCGCGCCGCAGCGAGGCCCCGCCCCACCGCTGGTCCTGACACCGTCCCCCCGGTCGGAAGTAGGCCGTCTCCCTCCCGGTCAACAGGCCAGGGACAGTTCGTTGTCGTGTCTAGGTCAGTCACTCCCTAGGTCCATCATCGGGTGGGCCAAACAGACGGCCGACCAGTCCGGGGTCAGTCCTTACCGGCGCCGGTCTTGGTCGGGCCGCGCGTGGACGCACGCCGGGCGCCACTGAGGCCACGCAGCCCGGGGAGACGCGCGCTCGCCAGCGTGGGGCGAGGGGTCCCCTGGGCGGGGGTTCAGCCCCACTCCTTGGGCCTGTGGGGCGGGTCCTGTCGGGGGCGGGTCCAGTGAGGCGGGTCCGCGCGGGCCGAGGCCGCGGCACCGCCCAGGGAACGTCGGCGCGCTCCGATGACGTCAGGGCGTCCGAGTTCGCCTCTGCGTGTGCGCGCCGCCGCCGGCCGTCCTCCCGGGGCTCTCTAGGACCTCCGGCGCGGGGCGCTGGTTCTGCGCCTGCGTGGCCTGCGTCCTGGTGGTCCGCTCTTTGGCGCCGAGCAATCTACACCAGCAAGGGCTGGCTCAGCCAGACTTTCCTTCTCAAATTGAGTAACCCCCGACCTTATTCCCCAAAAGAACCGATCCCCAGGAAGGACAGACAGCCCTGGCAGAGAGCATTCGACCGGGTGGCGCCCATAGGGTGCTGGGCCTTGGGATGGCCATGTGTCCGCCCTGCAGTTCTGTCCCGTTAGGTCACCCGAGTGACCCGGGGGAGCTGGGTGGGCAGCTCCTGTGGGAAAGAGGACATAAATGGGACAGCACCTCGAGGGCCGCGAGTTCGGGTTGTCACAAGGTCTGGCTGAGACAGTCTAAATGTCAGCTTGTGGAGATTGGTTGAGTAGATTGAATACACTCGAACGGTGACACACAGTGTGCCCACTAAAGGTTAGCTTCCATACATATCTATTCACGTACGTGTATATTCGTGTATACATATCTATTCTTAGATGAGAAATATAGCAGCTCCCTAATGCATTAGTTTCTTACTGCTACTGTAGTGAGTTGCTACAGACTAGATATTTTACAATTCTGGAGGTCAGAAGTCAGAAATGGGCTTTAGGGGGTTAAAAATCAACGTATCCACAGAATGGTTCCTTCCAGAGGCTCCAGGGGAGAATCTAGTTCTTGGCCTTTTCTAGCTTCTAGAGGCTGATTGTCTCCATCTTCAAAGCGCAGCCACTCCAACCTCTGCTTCCATTGTCACTTCCTCTCTGATTTTGACCCTTTTGCCTCTCTTTTAAGGACCCTCAGCATTACATTGGGCCTATCCAAGTAATCAAGGACAGTACCCCCATCTCAAGATTCTTAACTTTGTCATATCTGCAGAGACCCCTTTGCCATCTATGGTAACTATTGACAGGTTTGGGGATTAGGACGTGGTCATCTTTGGGGGCCATTATTCTGCCTACTATTGCTTATATTTCATTTTTATTTTTAAAACTGTGTATTGTGTGTACAGGAGGAGCAGGGGCAGATACACAGATGTCAGATCATTTGTCTCTGGAAGATGGGCATTCCTGGGCCTTTTTTTTTTATCTCTTCTGGTTTTTCTACAAAAAGCACATACTGCTCCTGTGATAAAAATCATGTTAAAGTTGGTTGGCATGCCAGTGCACCCAGAGGCCTCTTTCTGCCCCCTCCCCTCTCCCTGCTGCATCCTCACCCACCCCAGCCTGCAGGAGTTTCTGCCAGAAACCCAGCACCACGCTCATCCTCCTGCATCAGGGTGGGGGAGAGCTGCGCACTGTCTTCACTCGACAACTTGTCAACTTGCACTTGCTCTGCGGGAGCTCATGGTGTCGTGCGGGGGTGGGTGTCTGTGCCTTGGGGGCCCAAACCTGTGAAGCCACTGGTCTCTCCAGGACCCCTGGCCCCACGTTGGTGGCCCTGACCCCTTACAAACTACACAAGCAAGGACTGGCCCCGCCTGATATTCTCCCCAAGTTGAGTAACCCTTCCTTTATTCCCACAACGAACCAGCCCCCAGGCAACTGGTCAGCTCCCTGAGGTTCCTTTGTTAAATTTAGAGATCTTGGTTGGTTTCAATAACTGACCATCTGGGCCACATGTGCTTTTCTCTTCTGCTGCTGTAAATTCCAGCTCTGATGTTTTTTTGTTTTTTTTGTTTTTTTTTTTTTGCTGTACGCGGGACTCTCACTGTTGTGGCCTCTCCTGTTGCGGAGCACAGGCTCCGGACGTGCAGGCTCAGCGGCCATGGCTCACGGGCCTAGCTGTTCTGCGGTGTGTGGGATCTTCCCGGACCGGGGCATGAACCCGTGTCCCCTGCATCGGCAGGCGGACTCCCAACCACTGCACCACCAGGGAAGCCCCAGCTCTGATGTTTTAAGTTTACCAATAGTGAGCCTGCGAAACCCTAGGCCGCCAACCTTGACTCCAGTTAAAGCAGAACCCTAGCCGCCTGCCCCCAACCCCCCGCCCCCTCCCCACCTCGCTCTGTGGCCCCAGGTATGCCATGTGCATTCCAACACATGTGAGTAATAAACCTTTTTTTTTTCCCAAAGCTTCCTAATGGTCTTTGTTGAAGGCTGCCTTGCAATCACAAGGGCAAGTCCAGCCACGACACTGGTTATGGCTAGGCCAAGAGGGGCGCAAAACAGGTGTGTTATGAAGCCTTTAACCATCTTCCTACTGGTAGACATTTAGATTGTTTCCAGGTTTGGACAGTTGCAAAATGCTGCAAAAAGACATTTTGAACATGTCTCCTAAGCTCATGCATGAATATTCCTCTTGATCGATACACAGAAATGCAGGGGTGTGTAGTGTTTTACATAAGCCAGATGCCACGCTTGTTACCCGAAAGACGTTTCGCCTTGTGGTGAGTGTTGAGCCAAAAGACACAGCCAAGCCACAGATCCGGAAAGGAAGGGTTTATTTCTGGCTGCAAGTAAGGGGAACACTGGGGATCTTCTCCAAAGCAGTGTCTCCCCGCAGAGTCCTGGGTTCATTTGATTGAAGTCAGGAGGGTCAGAAAAGGTCATCTTCACCCCTTAGATTCCGGTAGGTCTGGTGGTTGCGGCTTCAGGCTAATCGTCACCATTGAAACAGAACCGGGAGTCTTTACAACTGGAACATTATTTTTGCTGTTGTTACTTCTCTTGTCTGATTACAGTCGTTTGTTTCTGCGTTCTTTTGTTCCCTTAAGATCATCAATTACTGAGACCTGTTCAAGGGCAAAGCATTGTGGCCCAGCTTAGATCACAAAACGGCTTAGGCCAAAAAATGGCTTCTGTTAAGAAAGCCATGCCTGGTTCTCTCTCCCAGGAAACCTACCGTATCTGCTTACACACTGACGCATTTCATCACAGCCAAGACAGATAGTTTCCATCTTTTCCTGTGTGGCAGCAAAAAGAAGTGTCTCAGATATTCGATTTCTGTGCTTTGGGAAACTCCCACGTCCTGCCTGCTGGTGGGAGGGCGCAGAGAAAGCCCCGACGGCCTCTGTCTCCTTGGGGGTGGTCGGGGCTCCCCGCGCCTGCGCCCGCATCTCCGCCTGACGCCCCCTCCCCGCAAGGTGGCCTGCCCCCGTTCTGGGCGACAAAGTGGAAAATCAAACTGGGACGTCAACTTTTACCCCAGAGTTCAGCGGAAAGCGGCGAAGGCTTAGCTGTGGGCGCTGGCTCGGCGCGCGTCTCAGAAAAAGACCCGGGGCCAAGCCGGGAAGGGATGGAGGGATGTCGGGCGGGCCCTTCCCAGGGTCTAGTGTCCTCCAGCCGGGGTTCGGTGGGCGAGGGCGACCTGGCGCGGGGCTCTGGGCCCGCCCGGCCCCCACTCTCCAAGGCCCCGCCCCAGGACGTGACCCCACCCCCTGCCCGGGCGGAAGACGCAGCTCTGCTCTCTGGTCTGCTGTGGAGGCCCAAGAGGTGAGGTCCGGGGTCGGGACCGAGCGGGAGCGGGCCGGCGAGGGGGGCGCGGCGTTTTGGGGGTCCCCCAGCCGCTGACCGCGTGGCGGACGGTCCCCGGACCCGAGAAAGTGCGGGGGCCGGGGGCGCGGGGAGCCCTCTCCGCGCTTTTGAGCGGCCCGCCTCTCCCTGGAGAGGCCCCGGCCCGACTCCGCGCTGACCTCCGACCCCCGGACACATGCGGAGCCTCGGGCGGGCGTGGAGGGCGGCGGCGGCGGCGGGCTGCTCCGCGCGGACCCCGGCGCGCCCCTGCCTCCCGCCACCCCCCGCGCCTCGCAGAGGTAACCAAGCTGCGCCGGTAGCGGGGGGCGGGCCGCGGGCACCGCTCCAGGGAAGGCCCGGGCCGGATACTGAGGCGGAGAAGACGCAACTCCTGGCTTCCGGCGCGGTCTTGCGCAGCGCCCTGTCCCCGCACTTGGAAGCATTAATTAGGGGCCGTTTGTGAGATCCGCAACTTGGGGCCTGGGGAGCAGCCCAGCTGGTGGGGGGTCCTGATTGCCAGGGAGGCCGTGGGCCGGACATGTGCTTGTTCCTGTCCAGATCAGGCACCGTAACTGGGGGCTTGTGAGGAAGGCTGTACACGCGGCATCTTTGCGGGATGTTAACACTTTTACATGGGTTCTCAAAGGGATCCGTGTCCTCTGGAGGCTAAGACGCCCGCAGGCCAACCAAAGGGATACTCTGGGTCTAGTCAAGTCTGGGGGCTTGGGGGGCGCAGCTGCCGGGTATCAGTTTCCTACTCTGGAGAGGCGAGTCCCCTAATGTCACACTGGATTCTGGGAGGGAGCAGCCGGGGGGAGCGGTGTCGGGGCTGGAGATCCTCAGGGGCCCCTCCCCCTGATCCCTCTCTCGCGATGACTGAGGGTTCTGAGTCAGGGTTTGGGTGGCCACACCCTGGGCTGGGGGTGGGTGGCAGGCCTGGTTTTGCTCACGTGCTCTGGCCAGTGGGCTGGGCGGTCTCTCCCTGGGATGGCCCTTCCCTGGGATGGTACGGGAAGTGGCCAGTTACCCGTGCCCTCGCCTCAGTTTCTTAGTAGGCCTCTCTGCTGGGACATGAACACGCGAATCCGAATCTTACCTGATCATTGGCACCAGGGGCCTCCCAGGAGGAATGTACCTAGAGCCTTTGCCTGGGCTGGCCCTCCTCCCCGCTGTGGGCTTGAACCAGCCGGGGCCCGGCAGGGAGCATGCCCTCTTCAGCAAGGCCGGGGCTGTGCCAGGCACGGACACAAACATGAGTGAAGCATTGTTCTCAGGAATCTGGGGGTTTCGGGGAACCGGGAACCTCACATGGGTCTGAGTCATCCTGTCTCCAGAGACCTGGAAAGGCATGGCTTCCAGGCGTGGGTGTTTACTGAACTTCCTGTTGCTCTTGACTGAAAGCCCGCTACCTGCCCCACTCCCGGGCACCCCCCAGCTCACAGCTGCTGCTGGGTTCCTCTCCTGCTGGCCCCCCCTTCAGGGCCACAGTCGGCACCCGCCCGGGGCTCTGGTTACTCATTTGTTCAGGCGCTGTGTGTGGCCCTGGTGAGGCTTCAGGGCCTGTGACCTCCCATCCCAGACCTGCTGGCCAGAGGCCTCCCTCTTTTCTCAGCCTGCTTGGTGGACTGGCTTCTTTGTGGGCTGGTCCCTGGGCTGAGCCGGGGTTGGGCAGAGGACGTGCCCTGTCCAGAGTCCCAGGCCCAGAAGGGGCTCATGGAAACAGGCGCCCCGGGCGGCCACCCATGAAGGCACCATCCGGCGCGCAGGTCGCTGGACCTGGGGTCCCCGCCCCGCCTTCTCTGTCCTGGCCAGGGCGCTTGTGGCTGGTACCCCTCAGGAACTGCCGGCTGACCACCTGACAGGGCTGCTTCAGGGCAGTGAGGCCTTAGGTGCTGGCATCCTGGGTGCATCTGGCTTTGTGGATGCCGGCCAGGTGGGGCTGTGCGCTGCCTTCCTGTTCTCGGAGGGGAGAAGTCACAGATTGGGGCCCCTGCGCCCTCCTGGCTGGGGTCTGCACACTGTCCGGGCCCACAGGCGCCACCTCTCCCCGCCCCCCGCCACCTGTCCTTGCTGGCAAGGCAGAGGCAGGGCTTCGGGCGGTGAGCGCCGGTCTCCCCTTCCTCGGGTGGGAGGTGCCCAGGAGGCTGGGGGGTGAGAGCAGCCTCTGTCCCCGCAGCCACGTCCCCCAGCTCTGCGGTCCGTGGCAGTCTTTGCCCGGGAGCCCTCTCCCATTTCTGCTTCTGGAGGCTGATGTGGATAAAGGTGCTGAAGAAGGGAAACAAAGCAGGCGGTGAGGCTGTGGCTTCTCCTGGAATGTCCCCTGGGGTCCTGTTTGGACGTCTTCCGTCCACTGGATCTCTGGCCTGTCAGACCTTGAGAGTTTGGCTGAAATCCTCTCCTTCTCCCCTGCCTGTGTCTAGGCAACACCTCGCCTCCCACCATGAAGCTCGACATCCAGTGTGAGCAGCTGAGTGACGCCCGGTGGACAGAGCTCCTGCCTCTGATCCAGCAGTACGAGGTGGTCAGGTAGGACCAGCCGTGCCTGCGTCCCCGGGGTCATCACCCCGCAGGGGGTGAGGGGTGCTCCCAGGTCACTTCACTTACAGAAGCGTGATGTAAATTTTGTATGATTTTCACGTGGCATAAAATGTGACTCCTTTTGTATTTTGTTCCAACCGTTTGAATGTAAACCCATTCTGGCCCAGGCCTGGTGGGCAGAGCAACCTGGCCCAGGGTCTCCTCTGCTCGTCCCCTTCCCCTGGAAATGCAGTCGCCACAGCCAGCTCTTGTGGGCACTGCCTGTCCTCTGCCCCTGCCGGGCTGCGGGCTGGGAATCCAAGTCCAGGCTGACTTCTGCTGTTGAGGCCCTCAAACCCGCAGGTTCCTCAGGGCTCACGAGCAAGAGATGAGTGCCTGCCTGCTTATCTTTTGTTTTTTTGGATTTAAAAATATTTTATTTTTGAATAGGTAAGACATATGGTACAAAATCAAAAAGACACAAAAGGGAATACAGTGAAAAGTCTTACTCCTGTGCCCAGTCCACTCTGTTGCCCTCTGCATCAACTACCCTTGTTTCTAAGAATTTAGCCCCCAGGTATAATTCCGTAGATATAATGTGAAATAACATATGCACAAGAATGTTCATTACAGCATTATTTTTAATAGCAAAAGATAGGAAACAATGGAAATATCCATTAATAGGGGACTGATTAAATCAGTTATGATATATCTGTTCAGTGGAGAAGTATACGGTTATAAAATAGCATGAGACAGCCCTTGATGTGCAAGTGTGTATTAAGTAAAAAAACTGCAGAACAGCATGCACAGTATGCCATTTGTGTTTCTAATACAAGGAAGCATGTGTATACGCGTGAGTATCTTGGGAAGGGCCAGCAGGAAGGCGAGGGCTGGGAGGAAGAGCAGTGGGAACAGCGTTTAAGAAGGTGCAGTGCCCGAAGGGTACACTGAGGAATGGTGAGCTCTCCGAAGTACGGCGTGTGCGGCGGAGCGGCAAGGGCGAGGTTAGCAGATTTCCAATTCTTTTCCCCTCGGTTTTAGACAAATAGCAATAGCAGCGTAGGCTTCACTTTGTTGTATAACCTTCCTTTTTCCCTTAATCTATTTTGGAAATCTTACCCAGGCATTTAGAGCCACTTTTTTTTCTTATTAGGGTTCCAAAGCAATTAATTGCTTCTAACCTTTTGTTATTATAAACAATGCTATAATAAATAGCTTCTTACATGTGTCATTTTACTTTTTTTTTTTAACACCTTCATTGGAGTATAATTGCTTTACAGTTTCTGCTTTATAACAAAGTGAATCAGTTGTACATATATATATGTTCCCATATCTCTTCCCTCTTGCGTCTCCCTCCCTCCCACCCTCCCTATCCCACCCCTCTGGGTGGTCACAAAGCACCGAGCTGATCTCCCTGTGCTATATGGCTGCTTCCCACTAGCTATCGGTTTTACGTTTGGTAGTGTATATATGTCCATGCCACTCTCTCACTTTGTCCCAGCTTACCCTTCCCCTCCCTGTGTCCTCAAGTCCCTGCTTATCTTTCTTCTTTTGAACTTACTTGAAATAGTTTTATGGAATAGTTTTATGGAAGGTTTATGGAAGAGTCACAAAGACAGTGCAGGGTCCCCCGTGCCCCGTCGCCTGGGGCACTGGTCAAAGCGAAGAGCCCAACACGGCCGCCTTGACTCATGTCACTGGCTTTTCCGTGCGTGTCCTCTCCTGTTCCCGGCTCGTGCGGGACCCGCCACGGCATCATCGCCACGTCTCCACGGCCCCTCCTGTCTGTGATGGTCCCTCCGTCCCGCCTTGTCCTTGGCCGCCTGCCTCTGGGGTCCGCTCACTCGGGCTCAGGTGAAAGGGCCTCTGGCGTCTTCTCAGGGTCGAGTCACACGTTTTGGCCACAGACAACACAGAAATGACGTTGTGTCCTGCCTGGCGTATCGTATCGTGGGAGGTGTTGTCACAGCGGTGCCATGTGGTCACTCCTAATGGTCGCCGTGACCACCTGATGCGGGTGCCTGCCACTTCTCGGCGTGACACCCCTTCAGACTCTGCTCACATCCTGTTTCTGCTCGGACTTTTTGCCTGTTGATCGTCGCAGCTGTTGGTGGGTTTTTGGCCTGAAGTGTTCCTGGGACTCTGCCTCACTGGGGTTTTTAATTTTTTCATTCCTTCCACATTTATCACTTGTCATTCTCTGAGGAAGAGCTGGCTTTCCTTCCACCTGTATTGACTCAGTGGTTCACTTAATCGGTGGACGTGATCCTGGGTCAGGGTTTGGCACGTTCCACGCTGGCCTCTCCGAGCCTCTTCAGCCGGGCTCTGCCCTCGAGCTGCCGCCTCCAGGTTTGGTTTCTCTCCTGGGGGTGGAGGGGCACTTGTGCCCCCTGACCGTGTCCCGGGGAAGATGCGGAGATACGCGTCCATATAGGTGCCAGTATCTTAACAGTTTTTACGAGACGATCCACGCGCTTTTT